AATATTGTAGAGATTACAACCACACTATAGAACTATGTCGATTGACTTTGATAAGTGGAGAGAGAGGTATGAGCGACCTGGGCTCATAGATGGTGATCTACAAGAGTTTTTGTGAAACAACAACAAGACCTGGACAAGAGAAAAGAGTGTCAACAGAGCAGAGAGAAACAAATAGAAAGGCAGAAAAAACATAAAGAGGAAAAGGAGAGACTGGAAATAGAGAGAGAATAAAAGCATCAACTGAGATCACCAATCTCACCCAACAGAAAGATGCAAGACCCAAGAATGACAACGGGGTCAGGGCCAGCCGACCCAAGCTGCCCAAATTTGGTGAACAGAAAGACGATATGCATACTTTCCTAGAAATATATGAACGATTTGCTCAAAGTCAGAATTGAGACAAAGGCAACAAGGCAGTCTGTCTCAGTCTCCTACTCACAGAAAAAAAAGCCTACAAGTGTATGTGGGAAGGATGCCTGAAGATTCCATAAACTATAACAAGTCAAGGTGGCCTTTCTGAAATGCTATGAACTTACCGAGGAAGGTTTTCACCAGAAGTTCAAGAAAGGCAAACCTGACACTGGAGAAACTGCATTTCAGTTTGTGACACGTCTATGGCAATTCTTCACAAGATGGACTGACATGGCTAAGTGTGAAGATAGTTTTGAAGGACTCACAGATCTACTAATATCTGAACAGTTCATGATCACATACTCCACTGGCATCACTGTTCCTAAAAGAGAGAGAAAACATCAAAAAATATGGACGAGATGATCAAGCTGGCAAAACAGTATATGAAAGCCCATGGAGGGAGGAGTATAACTGGTAAGCCCAAAAATAACAAATTAAAATCTAAACCAGAGGTGGCTGACCAAATTCAGGATGCCACCAAGTTAACAAGAAGTCAACAAACAAAATAGAGAAGAGATGCTATACTTGTTGTAAAATGAGGCACGTTGTGAGTGCAAGTTTGTCACCAATAAATAACAACAGAAATTTCAACATAAAGCAGCTGTGGCTACATACAAAGATGGTGCTGCCAGAAGGAACAGGAAGAAGATAACTCGTTAGATTCACCACAAGAAGGAAGTGCTATCACCATGATTAAATATTGCATAAATGATGGTGAGATCAAGTTAGCAAATGAGTCAACAGTGCTAGTGGAGATCAAGCAGTAGGTGAAGGCTATGTTAAGGGAAAGAAAGTGAAAGCCCTATGAGACACTGAGTATAGCAGTGAGAACCAATCTAGTATTTGATGACCAGATGATGGGTAAGGTACATCAGTGTACGCTGGTTGATGGAAGAGTGAGAAAGTTTCCCACAGCAAAAATAAAGGTAGACAATCCATATTATGTAGGAGACCTTGAGGCCATGTGTTAGAAGGCACCCATATACTACTTGGTGATTGGAAATATACCAGGCAGTAGAAGTTTGGAGGAACCAGACAGAAAGGAGACTGATGCGGCATCTGCAGTTACCATAAGAGCTCAAGAAATAGAAAACAAGCAACACATCAAGCCTTTGCAAGTCTCGAAATGTGATATCCCAAATGTAGGTCTACGGGAACTGAAGGAAGCACAAAAGACCCTTCACTCTAGAAACTTTGAAACAGTGCCTGGAAGAAAGTCGACAACAAGACCAACAGAAAGGGGACTTACAGAATAGAGGACCAGAAAGTAGTGCTGTACTGTTTCTATAAAAGCAGCTTTACTGGATAAGTTAAACAGATCATAGTAATAACAGAATACTGGACTCAAGTGATGAAGTTGGCTCATCAGTCGATTGTGAGAGAACACCTAGGAGCAAAGAAAATGGCAGACAGAATCACCAGCAACTTCCATTGGCCAGGGGTCAGTGGACCTGTCCGATGGCTCAAGAAAGTTTGTATATAGCTCAAGGCAGTCAGAAGCACTTCTATGACAAGAAGGCTAAGTATCGACATTTCAAGGTCGGACAGAAGGTCTTGATCTGCTATCGTAGACAAAGACAAACTCACTTTGCAGTGGAAAGGACCTTTTGAAGTACAGTAAGTGGTCAGCAGACTGGACTGTAAGATAAAAATGGACAGGAAGACCAAGATCTACCTTGCCAATCTGACAAAGAAATACTTCAAGAGGGAACCCTTAATTGGTGCAGCTATTGAGGCACAGATGGACAATGCATGTGTTGCTGTCTTAGATGCAGAACCAGAAAACTGTGACTTGATCATAGAAGATGAACACCTATTAGACATAAGACCACTGGGTGGGGATGAATCATACAAACACGTCAACACCAATGAAGATCTGACTGGCAAGCAGAAGAAAGAGCTACAAGATCTACTGTGCTAGTATGCAGATGTCTTCACAGATAGACCAAGCAAGACAGACCTTGTGCAACATGTAATCAAGAGTACGATCAGGGATACAGTAAAGATGAAACCTTACCAGATGCCTATGTGATGAGAGACTAGATCAAGCAAAAACCCAGCTAACACATGACGTTTCTACAACGTTGCTGAATAGTGATGCATTGGTAAAATCCAAAACATCATGCATCACATATTGTGACAACGTTGTGGCACTGCTATATAATAATGATGAAAGCAGTTTATAAAAAATCTAATAGCATTTTACATGTTTTGAAATACTGAACAACATTATTTGATGTATTTATTTGTATTGTTTATGCTTTTGAAAATTTACAAAGTAGGAGAAGGTTTTCACAACATTGCAGCAATGTTATATGCACAACTTTTATTGAAACACAAGTTGTAGCCTAAATGATAAGTTTACACTTTTTACTGTACAAGTACATGATATCTCAATTATTTATTGAATAAGAAATACATCATTTATCTCTGATTTTACTGCTCATAATTATAATTACATAGTTGTCAACTTGTCACAATGTTCTTGGCGTGGAAATTACCATACTTGCATACGTATTTTCGTAAGAAATACATAACAATAACTTCCAGCAACTTCTATACGTGCA